ATGTGGCATTTCATAGCATTTTTCAAAAAGTAAGCAAGCATACATTYGGGAAATTGATATTTCTCAGAAAAAAAGTGTTTTATCAGAATCAAATGTCTTTTTTGTGTTAAAATTATAATGATTTGACGGAAAGAGGAAAGAAATATTATTTGGATAGTAACTATTTTGGCTTTGTTTGATTGTATTTGGAAAACTAGTATTTATTTTTACAGTTTGTTAACTCCTTTTTTCAGAATATGCAGATTGCATACAATATTACCTGCAAAAATTAAATAGCATAAACTTAATGGATTGAACAATAAATGCAAATTGATGCAMGTGATGGAACCAAAGTGAGACCTCATTGTTTGCTGAAACAGACATATTCATAGTAAATTTTATCTTTCTGTTTAAATACCTTGGCTCGTAAGAGTTATATTATAGTCTTCATGTTCTTACCGTAGTTTATGAATTTCTAGGGTTTCTGAGAATTAATCCATCTATCCGTCTACTCATTATATTAGCAAGGTCAGGAATAATTATGAACATTGCTGCTGCTACAAAGTTTCTGCAGCTTATTGCATATGTCTAATACTTATATTTTTTCCTAATAGCAGATTTCGTTGTGGCTTGGTAACTGCACATACTTCAAACRCAGCAGCATTAAAGGCATTAAATAATGCCTTTAAAATAGGGTGTGCAGTCTTTGGTGAAAAGACAGAGAGAGTATTCTACTGTAAAATTCGAAGATTATTGAAGATTGTTAGAGAACRGCACATTTTCCACAGGCAATTATGGTAGTATGAGAGTTGTAAATAAATGCATCCCAGTTTATTACATTTTAACTGCTATCTAAAATGAATTCAGAAGGCCAATCTCAGTGTCTTGMAAATATGATTTTAATTTCATGTCCAATTGTCCATTTTTTTGTATAATGTAATGGCTTAATAATAATACCAAAATCTACATAAAATTTGCATTTCTTTCATTTCTTTTCTTTCCTTTTTTTTTTGGCGGGGGGGAGGGAGGGGAAGGTGTGTGTGGGTGTTCTGACAGCTACCAAAAAAAATACTGAACAAATTAACCATTCTGTGATGCTGTGAAATTAAGCTAAAATAAAAATATGTTAAAACTTTCATTAAACGGATAGGATAGTGTGATACAAAGGTTAATTAGCTGCTAATATATTCATTTCACTTTCCCACCTGAAAATCTGGTTCTCCATCAATTGCATTTTGCCTTATAAGAAGAATCCCTACTCAGTTGGTTATACTTTGAAGAATTATTTGATGAGACAATTAGCAATTTCCTGAACTATATGGAAAACACATATTTGCTTAAAAAATCATCTCCAAATCTAATCTGCTTATTTTTTTCATTAATTTAGTGGTGTGGAGGAGGAATATACAAGATAGATGAGATTATATATGTATGTATTTAACCACTTCTTTAAGCTCACTGCTTGCTATCCCTTCCTTCCTTCCTTCCTTCCTTCCTTCCTTCCTTCCTTCCTTCCTTCCTTCCTTCCTTCCTTCCTTCCTTCCTTCCTTCCTTCCTTCCTTCCTNTCTCTCTCTCTCTCTCTCTTTCCATTTGTGATGCTATTTGAAGAGTTTATAAAATGTTAAGGTTTTTGTCATTCTTTGGGAGGATACTGAAAGCGTGAGTAGGAGGAGCGGATATTTGAAATCGTTAACTTTCCTTTTACTCCTGCCAGGGCAGGCCAGTGGGATATTGTAAATCTTTCTACTTCCTAATTGGAGTGGATATTGATTTTGGAGTTTGTCTCCAGTGGGACTATAATCATATTATTCATGACTTCCCATTCATAACATGAAAAATATGTCCATAGAGAGCCCATTCCAGAGCTCTTCTATTGAATTCAACAAGTTTCAGTTTGGACTGACATCAAATGATGGGAAGAAGTCTTTGGGACAAAAACAACCTAAAAAGAATTGTGTGTAATATTGTGATGTTTACTATGGGGCTTCTAGSTCATCTTTTTCTCCACTAAACTGGGGGGAGCAGCTGATGCACACGGTGGTTGGGCTGTTATTTGGAGGGACCTCAGCTGGCTGGAGAAGCAGGCAGGCAGGAAGCTCATGAAGCTCTGCAAAGGGAAGAGGCGAGTCCAGCAGCTGGGGAGAACTAACCCTATACACCAGTACAGGCTGGGGGCTGACCTCTGGAAGAGTAGTTCTGTACAGTAGGATTGGATGAGTCCYGATGAACAAGTTGACCATGAGTCAGCCATGTCCTTCGTGGCAAAGACCATCAATACCGTGGGYTGCATTAGAAGGGTGCTGCCAGAAGCTCAAGAGAAGTGTTCTTTGATCTCTACTCACAGAGTTCCACAATAYGCCTTTTCTGTGAGGGCGATCAACACCTGGAAAAGATCCAGAGAGGTTGTGGACGTGATCCTGGCAACCTGCTGTAGATGAGCTTGAGCAAGGAGCATTTGTCCAGATGACCTYTAGAGATCTCTTCCAAGCCCAAATCTTTTCTGATTCTGTGATTTAAACTTTTAACTGTGATAAACTTTTATTTCTAATTATAAAGTTTTTTTTTTAATTGAACCATATAAAAAGTAAATAAATAAAAGTAAATACTATCTAAATGTGCTAACAGAGTAGAAACCAATGAAATAGTGACTAGGAGTAGCCGTGCTTCTTGCTTGGTGAGCTATAAATACCTGCAGATAGACCACATGCAGGTAGAGGGGTCTACCATTGCGTCGTTCATTAGAGCAGCAAGGCAGATTGTGTTTACATTTATGCACTGTGTACATTCTCACATCCAAAACCAGCTGGATACAGCCCATAATGTCAACCTGAAGGAAAGGAAAACATTAATATGTTTGTATTTTTTTTTAACTCTACCTGCAGTGCAAAACAAACAAGACAATCTTATTATTTAAGACTACTAGAAGGGTAACTGTGATATGAAGGACCTATTATTCTTGCCTCCTTTTGTCATTTTATGTAAAATGAGAAGATGTTAAGGCAGATCAACTGCTTTAAAATAAAGAAATTTTAATTAAAAAATTGGTCTTAATTTCATATTTTAAAACAATGATAATTTTGCAATACTTTGAAAACGTGAAGGAAGAAGGATCATTAGGATAGAACAGGACAGAACATAATAGTGAAAAGCAGAATACAAAAATAACAGAATAGTCAAAAATATAACAATAAATTGGACTGCAATATCTAATATTAATTAGCCTTTCATATCTTGGTCAGATCCTCAAACTTTATCCTTTTTTCCTGCCAGCTGTCTTTTTGTGGTATGTAAATTTTGCAAGCATATTTAASCACTAGTACTATGTTAAAATCTCTAATTTATACCTATAGTCACCTAAAGTCATTTCTGTCGTAAACACATCTTCAGGACTGTCCTAATAATTCATTTCAGTCACAAACTTGAAGTGCTAATGAATATAGCAAATATTTACTTTTCTTCAGCATAACGTTATTGTATAGAAAGAAATAAAAAATAAAATAAAAAAAATAAAAAAAAATAAAAAAAAGAGAGAGACCAGGGTATTTATGTCGTGTCTTAGGCTTGCTGAAAAATTATGCAGTATTCCCTGATGGCAGGGTGCTCTACAAGTGTGTAACAATAGGAAGGTTCAAATTCTTTGTGTCAAGAAGTTAATAAATAACTAAACTACTTGCCTGGGAACCAGCAACAAAGCAATTTGTTCTTGTCATCTGGAAGTGGTTAAATTATGAAAAATTGTCCTCTATAGATTTAACTGATCCGTGAATCTAATTTGTGAACTGTACAGCGTTCAGTGTGTTGTAGCTCTGTGTGGCTCATGCTTTCTATATTARGAGCAGTGAAATATGACCAATGTCACTTTTTGTTAATGGATTATATAGGTAATACCTCCAGRCAGGATAATGGACTACAAGACATGAATAGCCTAAAAAGCATCTAATTTATTTTTGGTGGTTTATTTTAATTAACTTCTAGATGTTTCTTGTTTCTGAATTATACTTTAATAGTTTTTTTTTTTTTCAAAAATATTGTTTAGTCCAGTAGAATTAGACAGTGGTGCTAGGTTTGAACAATTAAAATATACCAAGTTCTAAAATAAAAGAGAAAATACAATTGTGAAAACACAGAACCCAATATTTCACGTAGAGAAGTAGAATTAAATACACAGAGGACAATGTTAAAAGCCCTATTMATTGAATAGTACTACGACCAGGTGTACTATTAGGTAAAATTGAGGAGTTTAAATAGATTGGGGGGAAATAAGCTGATACACTGATGAAAAGCAGTCCAAGAGAAGACTGACTAGAATTGTGTTTATATGGGAACATTCATTTTTAAATAAAATTGCTAAAGGAAATGAATATTATGTTATATTCAGATAAATATGTCTGTGGCGCACTTTCTTGGCCTGGTTTTCCTCCAGCAAAAGCTTTGAGGCAAAGATTTGTAGGGGATGACTCCTGGGAAGTGTGGCAAGAGGGGTCTTCCCATTTTCTTGTCTTCTGAACCTTTTTTCTTTTAATAAGCCAGAAAATCTTATGATGAAAAGTTTTTATTTGTTTGTTTTGCTAGCACTTGCAGTTAATATTACTCCTCATTGGATCCYGTCCTAAGCGTTTTAAGTGTTGCTTGTCAATCATCATTATTGCTATTTTTGGATGGAACAGTATATTTACAGTACAGTTGTTTCCATACACARCCATGTAAAGAGGATGCAAGTGAATCAAGAAATCAAGCTTTGGTGTCAAATGGGGAAAGGAATTTCCTCCTTTGTCCTCACCATACCATGGGCTCTAGTTTACGCATCCAGAGACTGGCATGAAAGCAGTTGCATGGAGTAAAGAGCATAGGAATGGCTAATTGCAATAATGAACATAAACTTAAGCACTGGTCTGTTTCTATTATAATTTCAAAGAGAAAACATAAAGGAATGCAGATTTACCTGAATGTATGTACAAAATATGGTGTGATCTTTATCCACTACTTTTAAACTAATGGAATTCCTTTCTTTCTTTCACAGAATAATGATATAATCTATTACAATGCAAAAGATGATCAGAACGATGTAAGTAATAACTTTATTTTTGCTTCATTTCTTAAATTACAACAAAATATAAAGGAAGGGATTGAAAACTTTAGTCAAACTCTAAGACTGCCACTCAGATATTTCACAGAAGGAAGAAACTAAGAAAATWAAAWAAAAAAAAACTTAGAGGAACAGATTGTATTTTATATTTTAATTCTGCAGGTCTGTTTTCCCTCATATAGTCTTTTGAGCTACAGATCAGGGAAAATGTTAGGAGGAAAAATAAAATGGTCCAGTCAAATTATCATTCATTTCCTGAAATGTCATAAAATCATAATTGTAGGACTGGAGAATCAAAATGATACAGGTAAAGAGTTTAGTGTACACTGAAGAAACAATTCTCTGGCCCCATTTTCTAAGCTCATATTTCCCAGCTCTACATTTGCTGCAAGAATTCTTTTACATGAGTGAAAAGCAGTTGTAAAATGTAACTGAATAACTATGTTCATCCACTCRGTGATCATTCGTATTAATATAATAAGATTTGGGGGAATGGAAATTTCACTCTTTTAAAGTTTTACAATTGTGTTGTATTTTAATGCAAAATTCTAATAAGACTCTGTCTTCAGGTGGTTTGAATTTTACTATTCTGGCGTTAACTATTAAAAATCTTAATGTCTTTTGGGAAGGAGACAGGTTATCGTATCCCCACTGTCACTTGAGATAGTACAACTGCTTGTCTTCATTATAGATTTAATTTGTAAAATTATTGAAAAGATATTGTAAATACATTAATCAGAAGCATCAGCATACTTCATCTGCACTTTTTAATCAAGTATTCTTTGGAGATTGATGTCATCAATATTGTAATTGATGCTTCTGCTGTAAAGCAATTACAGAAGATGCATAGATCACATCAAGCAGAACTATGTGATATGTTTATATCAAATACAAAAGCACTAAAAGCACTGGAAATCAAGTACAAGAAACAAAACTACTATCTGAAGTTTAAAACTTGTGTGCTTTAAGTAACGTTAACTAAAAATGACTTAATTTTAAAGCTGTTCTTTTCTTTGAATTTTAAAGCTGTTCTTTTCTTTGAATTCATTAGGATTTTCAGGAATTTTAGTAACATACCAGTCACTTCTGAGAACATGGGCTTTGTTTACCAAGCTTAAGCAGTATATTCCAAGGCTAAATATATCGTAAACCTATGATATTATTTGGGAATGTTCTTAACTGAATTAAAAGTTTTAAATCTAGACTTGCAAATTCCACTACTGTTTCTGTCCTATAAAGTATCAAAAGAAGTTTTTAAGAACATGACATGATGTTATTTGAACCTGCTTAATGCTTTCTAGGTTTCTATAGTCGGTTGTTTGCACTCCTTGCTTCTTTGATTGAGAAAAAAAAATGACTCAGTTTGCAAAGGTGAATAGCAGTAACCAACGTCTAGTACAATTCTTTGYGAGTTTTAGAAATTTCTATTGTCAGCACTTTTTGCAATATAAAAATATAGCATTGAGACTTGATTCGGGTGAGCTGCAAGTGTGTTGATAGGAATATGTGCATTGAGGTAAGTTACATTTTTTTTTACTTCATAATAGTCCAAAGAAAAAGGTTGAAGAGAGAGAATGCAAAGGGAATTCTTTCTATCAGTGAACATATTCCCTGTTATTCTACTTCTTTCCAAGATTAGATAATGGTGCAAATGGAAGAGATTTCAAGAAAGTGTAGGATTCTGAAGTCTCTGGTTGCTTTGAGAATGTGTGCTTTTTGTTTGCCTTTTTTAGTTTGATTTGGTATTGTTTTTGTTAATATGATCAAAAGTTTTTTGGCTGCATTGGAAGTGAATGTTTTGACTTATATAGATGTCAGTGGGATGTTCTGATKAGACCATGAGAAGAGAGGCCAATCTCACATTTCTCTGCCACTGACACCTTATAAGTTTRGCACATCTGCCAAAGTCTAGATTTGTTCATCTTAGATAAATTTATCTAATTCTGTTCTTGCTATTAAGTAAAGGTGAAATTTCATAATAATGCTAAACTTTATCCTTTCTAACCTGCAATACAGATGCTAATTGTAAAATAAAATTCTTATGCTGCTGTTAGTAAGTAAAGTATAACAGAAGAACAGTTAGCTTAGAGATGTTATTATATATGTAGATTTATATCCCTTTAAAAGGCCCAATATTTTAAGAATCACTACTGTGTGCTTCCCAAAAAGACTCCACTGTCATGCATTATAGTTTTTAATGCAAATATTTCATTAAAAGTCTAAAATATAATTATTTTCCTTCATCAGTAAAGCTGAAGTTCATCAAGTAAGTGTAGAAAATGAATCCAAGAACAGCCTGCCTTTCCTTAAAAGAGTTATCTATGTAGATTTCCTGGTTATATTCGTAATTTCCTCAATATCCCATATGACAAATTGAAAATTGTCACTTATTCCCATTAAAATAAACGTTATATGAATCTTCACTTGCCCCTTCAATACCTTATGTATTAAAAAAAAAAAAAAAAAAAAAAAAAAGAAAAAAAAAGGGGGAAAAAAAAGAGAGAGAGATTTAAAGCTTGGAAATATTCAGCATTGTTCCCATAATTGTAGGGAGATAACATGTCCCACTCAAGTCATTTGAAAAGAAGAAGCTACCATAGGTAGAGGGAAGATATTCCTAAAGAGTGRTTTTAGCCTAGAAGTCCAATGTCCATGGAGTCCTTCTGTAGCCAACAGAGATTCGTGCCTACAGCACATCTAATGATGGTCATGCGGTGGATCACATTTTGGAGAACCTTTCTTTGCCAACCAAAGAGGGAGGACAGGAAGATGATTTGTCCTTTAGCTGATAGCAAAGTCTTTAACAGCTTAGTGTTTGGCTGAACTGTTGACACTGTGAGTAAGCAGTAGTGTGTCCAGGCCTCACTGGCACTCAACAGCTGACTGTCCCTGTCCARGCATGGGGGGAGAGTTTTGATAAGAATTTGTCCAGGTACCTAGACAGCATATTTTTTATCACAGCTATTGTAAGGATACTCTTTATGCTTCTTGACTTGCTGGGACTTCTACTTTTCAATGAAGATGCAGTAACATTTCATACTAAGCTACTGGAGTTTCCAGATGACCTCCATGGAATGTCTTGTCTGCAGTCCCTTTTGCATGATCCAGTCCCATGGCTGTGGTTACACAACTGCCATCATTCATCTTCCCTTTGGTTAATGCAGCTTACTGTAGCCACTTTCTGCTTGTGGTGGTAGGTAGCATTACTACCTTTTACTGTCAGTTCCTCCTTTCTTCCCTCGCTCTTAACAGGGATTCCTTCTCTGCATGTTCTGTGRAAGGAAGCAGTCTCTCAATGATGCATCATCATTCTTCATTGGTTTTGTTTACTTGGCTGCTTTTAATAGATTTTTTCCTGAATTTACACTTTTTTCTTATACTTAATTAATTCATTTTCTTCCTATTTTTGTGTCTCATTGTTTTGATTTACTGAGCTATCAATTACATCACATAAAACATTATTCTGTAGAGTTTTACAAGTGTTTTAAAAAAGAAAGTTCTCTCCTATACATACATACAAACAGATACATGCAGATATTTGTGGTGAGAAATTTCACTTCTTGGTGTCTGTTTCTCTTCATTGACCAAGTGCCTATAATGAGCCTTTAAAATATTATTTAGCTGTCTAAAAAACTATAAGAAATTTATCATGCTCATAGGTCCTGTCTTCCAATCTTTCTTTGCCTTCATTAAACCCTTTGAAAATATGATTTCTTCTATTCCTTTTTATCAGAATATTGCTCTAATATAAATTATGTTTTTTTTTTTTTGTTTTCTCCTGGTTTATGTTAATATTCTTTAGTATATTTTGCTTTACTTCTTCCTGTTCTTGCACCATATTCAGGATATTCTCTCTCATTCTTCATCTGCTGTCTAGAGGTGCCTTTTTCCATCTAATTACTGTGTTTGCTTGGATTAAAAAAAGAAAAAATGGTGAAGACCAATCATTCCTAGGACTTTTGATTTCTCAGGTACAACGATCAATCTTTAACCCCTCAGTTCACCAGTCAGTGAGATGCCTTTTGCAAGCCTTATCCTACAACAGCAATTAGATTCTACTTGCTTATTTCCCCCCACAGTGCTGTAATATATGAGCACTTCATGGGAATTAATGAATTTTACCTTCAAAGCAAGGTAGGAGGTATTATTATATACCATTTTTTTTCATATCACACAGAAAGGCAATGGCCAAACTAGTAATTTAATACAGGTCTCAGGTTTTCATTCACTGTCCTGTTCCCCGAGCCCTTTCTGTGAGATATATTGCAGTCTGTCGTGCACTTTAATTTGCAGGTGTCAACTACTCTGTCCTATGTCTCTTTCATATAAATGATGCAGTCCTTTTTTTGGTCAGTTAAGTGGTACCACATCAGGATGCTTTATCCAACAAGTTTTAATATTGCTTTCCCTGTTTCTCCCATTTCTCTYCTTGCCCTTTATCCTCCACCCTATTTATATTCATCTTTGCCTGGCTGTTCAGTCCTTTCCATATTTTTATACTGGTCTCCATTTTACCACCACTCATTTCATACCTTCTTTATATATCTTATTTCCAGTTGCCCTACCAATATGCATGAAATTGCTCAATTGTTTAGTTCTCAGTCTTCCTTGATTTGTTCCCTAATTTAACATCTTGTTCCTCTTTCTGACTTCTAAATGGAACTTCYAGCCATATTTTTAGAAACTCTTCCTTGTACAAGTTACAGCCATCTAAGAAAAAAATGTAAGGGTGGGGGAAGATATTTTTTTCAGTGGCTTAACTGAAAGGTCCAAATGCTGAATGAACAAACAACTGTTCCTTTAAAATACAGCTTACCTTATGCTAGAATAGCCATGTCTCYGTAGCTGTCTCAGGTTTATAGCATCTCTTCTGGTCTTACTCATTCAGCTTTAATTGAGAACAGTCAATTGCATCTCCTGGCAATTGTTGTATCCCTAGTTCATGGAAGAGATTTAGCAGAGAGAAGATTTTCTTCACC